ATTCTGGCCACGACTACATCACATTGTCTGGTTCTGTCCTTATGCTGGCCATACCGGTACCTCTCGTCATAAAATTTGTCATATTTACTAATGCTACAACTGTGTGGTCTCTCTGCATTTCTCAGTTCTTCTAGATCAGAGTTCTTCATTCTGACTTGAATGTTTTTAGGTACAGCATTGGACAGGCCAAGGTCACGGTCAAGATTTTCTTTCTTACATGCCTCATTGGCCTATCAGCACGTTCATGATACCTGATTCCAACATGGGACGGAATCCACACAACTTCGATACGAGTGTTGTTCTCTTTGGCAGTTATCACATTTCTTTTAATATCACATACAACTTTAGACATAGAACCTGACGGGCTGTTCATTGATTTCAAAGCACTTTGAGAGTCACAGAATATCACCCCACCTCCATTTTCTTGAAGGTAGTCTGTAGCTAAGTAGAATCCAGTTAGTTCAGTTTGTGTTGTGCTGGACCAGTTGTTCAGCCTTTAATTGTTTGACACTATCATCTCTTTTTCTTTATATGCTACAATTGCACAGCATGTTCTACCTGTGTTTGTCTGCACAGAACCATCAGTAAAAGTATAGCATTCATTTGATTTAATACTCTTTATGTGACTGTTAATAGTTTCTAGTGTAACACATCTCACCACATCGGTGTTTAACATTTGCTTACTACCAACAGGAGTGTAATTAATAGGAACTGATATATCCAGCCAAGAAGGAATGGCATTAATGGGTTCGTCTGGGGTGATTGGGACATTCAGTTTCAAGAGATCTGCAACACTTTTATGAAGCCACGCCCCAAAGAGAGTCTTTTGTGGAAGGTTAGCGAGATAGTCGGGATTACTTCGATAGAACATCAACTCAGTTTGAGCTGTACTTTGGGGACCATTGTTCTTCAAAACTTTGACACAAAACATGGTATTAAGTAGAGCTATCCTCTCAGATAGGGAGGGCAGTCCGAGCTCTTTCCTCATGTTTACAATTCTGGTTGATTTTGGGCATCCTAGAATGATGCGTATGACTTCGTTTTGCACTACCTCAAGGCTGTTGAGTTGTTTAGGTGGAATAGTCACAAGATGGAGAGCATGATAGACAACTACAGAACGAATGAAGTGAAGATAGAAAGTACGAGCATAGGTGATGTTACTTCCATAGCCCTTGTCAACAAGGGTTCTGAGGGGTTTAATAAGCTGCATTAGTTTGGCACGAAGGTTGCCGACAAAGTTTGCATCATCCACATTAATTCCGAGATATTTATAAGAGCTACACAGTTCCAAGGTCATGCTGTTAATGTTAAAATCAAGAGGCAGAGGGTGAGCAGGACGAGGATTGAGGACCCTCGTCTTGTCAACAGATATTATGAGACCACATTCCACAGTCCTCTGAGCAAATACATCCAGCAAGGCTTGGAGCCTGACCTTGGTCTGTGTCATAATGCAGATATGATCAGCATAGCATATTACAGCCTCATTTGGCTGAACTAGAATGTCGGCAATAAGCTTGTGCATCAGTATATTAAAGAGCATAGGACTTAACACTCCTCTCCCTGAGGCATGCCAAGCTCAAATGCTCTCATTCTGGTACTTTTGACTCCCCTAAATAGAACACTGGCATACCAGTTGGATAGATGACCCTATAATGAGACAAATCTCATATGAAGAGGTAAGGTAGGAGGTTATAGTTGTAGAGTCGTATAGTGAGAGGAAATGGTAGCGTGTCTCGAGGGTGTGATGTTTACACTGTATATTAACACAGGCTCAGTACAAGTGTAGTATATAGAACACCAATGCGTGTTACAGCTTTATTTTACTAGTTCAATAGGGGGAGTTAATGGGGGGGGGTTCGTACACAATTTATGATAGACTATGGTATTCTTGTGTAACCTAACCTCACAATTGGAATGGGCACTTCACTAAGTCGATCGTTGGGGAGGTTCGGGATCACTGCACTTCTACCGTCTGCACAACCAGCACTTACTGTTACAAATTGAGTTGACAGCACTCTGTCGATGGACCCAGCTGAGACCTCCTTACACTTAGTGGCGGACTTCTCTCAAGCGGGACTGGGGACGTTGTTGCTGGCCCTTCTTGGTTACAGGACTCTCTCTCTCGTGAGGCCCATTACAGGTCCTATATATTAGGAGAGGAGCAGGCAGATGACCACTAATGCTGACTGGGTGGTGGCGAGGGGTACCCTTACATTTGACCTCGCTAATGTAAGGTCAGGTCTGGATTTCTTCGGAGCTATAAGTTGTTGTATATATTGGAGGAATCTTCTGCTGACTGCGTGCCTGTTAACATAGTTGGTGGGGCCGTGTGACCGTGATTTGGCCCCTTGACCTGGGCTGCGAGGGGTCCCCTTTACATTTGACCTCGCTAACGTAAGGTCAGGTCTGGACGTCTTCTGCGATGTAGGTTGTTGTGTATATTGGGAGAGAGTCGGCAGGTGGCCTCTTCTGCTGACTGGGTGTTTCTTATATATTTGTTGGGGCCGTGTAACATGGGAGGGATGCTGGTTGATTTGTGGCTCCTTGAGTGGCTGCAAGGGGTACCCTTACATTTGACCTCCTTAATGTCGGGTCAGGTCTGGACTGAGATGTAAGCTGTGGTCTGACAACCCATCACTACAACCTTTATCCATGTCAGGTGGTTACCTTGGATGCCAAAATTATCTAGTTGCTCAAGTATAATGTGTCTATTAGCTACATCAAAGGCTGATTTAAGGTCTATGAAGGCTGTTTGTGTCTTATCTTTTGAGTGAACAAGATATTCTACAAAGCATGTCTGTGTGCTGTGCCCGGGCATGAACCCATACAGATTGGGGGCCAGTTTGTCTTTGACTTGAAACATGAGACGGTTGAGAACAACTCTTTCAAGGACTTTACACATACAGGATGTGAGTGAAATTGGCCTTAAGTTTGGAGAATTAGCTTTAGGGATTGGTACTATGTTTCCATGAGTCCATGTCTTAGGCAGAATACCCTGTGTGAGGCTCATTTGATACAAGTCAAGCAGTGGATGGTTAGGGATCTTATTTAACAATCTCAGGGTGTTATAGGTTATGCCATCCTCACCAGGAGAGAATGATTCACCTTTTATAAGTGCTGTTGTTAGTTTGTGGTGCGTTATAGGAAACTGGTCGGTAAGGTCTGGTGTGGAATAAGTTATTTCAATATTGAAACCCCTATTAATGTGTGGGACCTCTTACCACAGGTAGAGTAACTAACCGCTATAGTGGAGCCCCTGTATGTCCCCACCTACTTATACATAATAATTTAGATATAATTCTTGTACGCTACCGACACTTTGGTGGGTGCTAAATCCCACTGTCCTCAACACACATCAATATCTCCATATCACACTTCATAGCGTGTTCAGCGAGACACGAGTACCACTGTATTAGTGTCTGACCGCATGGTCTCGTGACTAAACTTGTCGCCCCCTGGGGTGTAATAAATTAATTAAATAATGTGCAATGAAGGGCTTAATGTATTTTTTTACTTTCCGGCCGCTTGGTTACGCCACCGTCGCGGGAGGATAAATATTTTACACTGAGTAAGCTGTCCTATAGTCTCAGAATCCCGGTTCTGTCTTGAATGAGTTCACACTAAAAAAAATTAAAGCAAAGCGAATACCTTTCTTAATTTTTTTCACCTGAAGAATAAACTGTTTCGGTATTAAATGGCACATTACTACGACTATACAGTAATTTCTTAATTGGCAGTAATTTCTCAATTGGACTGTAGGCTCCCAGTTATAGCGAAGTCTATATCACCATTATAACTTGCCACGGTGCTGAAGCAGCGACTCTGCAGTGTATCAGAGACGTTGTGGGGAACAGGTTGTTTGCTCACACTCAGGATGGGATGGAGAAAGGAAACTCACAATGTGCTCTCTGTATACATGTTGTATTGGATGTACAATGCAGCTTGGTGCTGGGAAGTGGCAGCGTGGTTACAAGCGTGATGTAGAGAGAGCTGGTTGGTGAGGGTGCTCAGAGGAGGACAGCTTGTGGGTCGCCCTGCTCGCCGGCTGGAGCGAGGGCCGCCAGGCAGCGGCGGAGGAGGAGGTGTAGCTTGCTGCGGCTGTAGCTAGAAGAAGAGAGAGGGCACCACGAGGTCAGGTCTTAAATAGCGGGGGTAGGCGTGGCTTAGTTGTTGACCTCCGTGATGTATGGCGGTGCTGGTTGACCCAGACCACTAGGCATACACTGGGAATTCGCGGGGTCGGCTACTCAGCGACAAACAGCGTTTGTAGGGGAGAAATCCGCTACAACGTAAACGACCGCCCTAGTGGCTAACGAGGATAAAGAAAGGTAATAACCAGTGGCGGACTGGCCCACCGGGATACCGGGAAATTTCCCGGTGGGCCCCAAAGTGATGGTCCATCACTTTGGAAATAACTACGTTTTGGACCCTTTTGAGTGGGCCCTTTTACAAGTTTTCCCTGTAAAATTTTTGACCCAGTCCGCCACCATTATTTTTTCAGCCTATTTCTCGGCTTTGTTTTATCAAATTAACTTCAGACAATATACTTTAAACTGCTGAGAATAATGCAGTGTTTAGATAAATTTCCCCTTTACATACTGTATGTTGAGGAGTAAATTGTACCAGCTGAAGTTAGATTGCCTGACTAATCTTGCTACACGCTTAAAGACCTTCATTGCGTAAGCGCACTAATAACATTATAATAATGACGACCAACATGTACCAAATTTGTTCAAAATTTACCGAAAATTTATAAAATTTACCAAAATGCTACAAAAGAACTTATGTATCGCACGTGGTAATGTTGGATGAATACCACGAATAAGACTGCTTTAACCTCTTTCTTTATATCATACATATATCATAAGTATTTCATTATTTTCCAGGTTTTATATAAATTAAAAGATGAGAGTATTGAGTAGTCTTTCTTGGTCAAGGTATACTTCAGTTGGCTCGTGTCTCCAGAGAAAGGTTGATAGGCAGGTTAAGTTGTTCGTGGACTTGGGTTAACATCAATGACTGGAGACCTTGTCGTAAACAACCATCACTCACCATGATCTCCATAACTCCCCTCTTACTAAGGCTCAACGCCCGATGTTTCCAGACATGTTCATTGGCATCCAGCTACAAGAGCGCCATAAGTATCAGCAAGATCTATCCTGATAGTGACCTCGACATAACAAAAGTTCAAACGGTTGGCAAATATTTTTCATAATGTATATTTTGCCTTGACCGGCTAAGTTCCTACAAACGCTATTTTACCGTGAGTGCGCTCTGAATAGCTAAGTATTTTCTCTTTAATATGACGGAAGCTCCGTTTCCCGGCTTGGATGTTAGGCAAGGTTAGGTAGATTTCTTTGGTTGGTTAGGTTATGTTCTCTTAGGTTCTAGTAAATGTTGCCTTTTTTATAATGATCAGTTAATTTGTGGACAAAAATGGGTAATTGCTTACGACTGATTTTTCACTGAAAAAGAATTTAAAACAGTGCAATTTCACTGTTTTATAATGGACACTCGTACTTATGGCAAATGTGTTAAAAAGTGGTTTTCTAAGTTAAACATAACCTAACCTTAGTTGATAAGAAAAACAACCGGCAGAATCATTGTTAGAAGACCTAACCTAACCAAAGAAACGTACCTCACCTGGTAAAATTGCAGATTACAGCAACCAAAGAATCTGATAAATGTGTTTACCTAACCTAATGTAATACTGGAAATTGATTATAGAAAAATTTTTCAACTGATTGAGTGTCGTGAATTTCCGGAATTCTGTGGTTGCTGTTTACTGCAATATTACCCCTAACCTTACCTAACTTCCTAGCTGTGAGGCTCAACCCTCCGGACCACCGACATATTAAGCAGAAAAAACTTAGTATTACATGATGTAATTTGACGTTTTTTGTGAACGTTAGAGCAACTGCCCGACCTGTGTGTCTAATAAACATGCACTGGCGACTGGCGTTGATCAGAGATGATTGACTCTGTACCGCCAAAGTAGGCAGGGCTTAGTCGCCTAATTATATTTCAAACGAAGTAATTTCCACAAATTATTATTATATCAGAACTCACTGATGAAAATATAGTAAGAATATAAACATCAAACAAATAACTCGTCAGCTGTGAAGTCCTCTAATATTTGCCCAAAAATTAACAAAATTGAACCACTCCTTCTGGTGGTAGCAGTGTTCTCAGATTTTACAGTATTTTTAACCTTTTATCAAGTTAGGTAAGGTTTTTAAAGGCTTGTTTGGTGTTCTTTTTAGTATTTTGCTCCACATTTTCCCGCAACTGCCCACTTTGAACAACCAATATTGTTGGTAATTGGGGAGGTCTTATCAGGTAAATTACTAAAAAAAATATACATTTCCGCCGGAAACGTAATAGAATAGTGTTTACCCCCCTATATAAAAAGAAATATAAAATTCCATATTTGATGTAAAACGAATTTTTACCTCTACTTTTTTAGTAGATTCCAGGCACAACAGAAATATGGTTAGGTGTGTTTATAGCTACACAGCAATCAACTCATGGCGAAATAAATGCTACATGTTGCCAATCAGAGCGCAATCATGTTAGCGTAGCGTTAGTAGGAACTTAGCCAGTCACGGCAAAATATCCACTGCCAATATTTTTAGTACAGAGGACCACACTGTGTGGACATGGATTGCTCCACACCCAGAGTGTGGTCTTACACTCACCCACTGTAAAGTATAATACTCCTTTGTTACAGGAAATAGTATTGTTGGAATACCCACCTGACAAAGGCTACGCAAAATCTAGCTTGGTAAACACCGTTCTCTCATCATTTACAACAACTTTTTAGTAACATTTCCTATGCAAATCAATAATAATGAACTTCATAAAATTATCTCAAAATTTTCTGTGATTCTAGTGATATTGCCTATCGTTTCTATGGAAAATCACTCGTTAGGTTAAGGGTTGGGTTTGGTTAGGCTAAGGTTAGGTTTGGTTAGGCTAAGGTTAGGTTTGGTTTGGTTAGGCTTGTTTCTTTTTCTAGGATTCAACAACTTGATTTTTTATGTGATTCTAATTATTTTGCCCTCCATTTCTTCTGCAAATCACTCATCCCCCAAAAAAAAACTGCTCCCTCATGGGCCCCTAGGATCGTGGGGGAACTCGAAAAAGGGAGATTTCCAACGGAATTTAAGCTCAAATTCGTCCTAATCACATGAAAAAACACCAGAAAAACTCATTGCCGAAATATAAATCGAACTCAGGTGGATCTTCCAAATTTACCCAGGAAATTACTATTTTTCCACAAACATGGGCTTATGGGGAGCCTAAATCATTCCAGTGTTTGTGAGATAATTACGTGGGAGGTGAGTACAATGACCAGATTAAGTTAGGTTCTTTTAGTTATGTTTTTAATTCTGCATTTGGTAAAGATAAGTGGGCGACATCAAGTGAATAGGTCACATCATGTGTCACCCTCACTTGCTGTCACCCACTCACTTGCTGTCACCCACTCACTTGCTGTCACCCACTCACTTGATGTCGTCCACTCACTTGATGCCGTCCACTCACTTCATGTAGGCCACTGATAGGCCTAAGGTAACATTTGGATAATGGCAAGAAATAAAATGTCCAGTGTTCAAGAATCTCCGGTTTCCTGAGATTCGAATTCAAGGGTCTGTTCCTTTACTAAATACAAGTCGACAAAAAATCGGTCAATTTATAATAGTACAGTAGCCTGTTTTTGATTTTCCATAAAAAAATAAATTTTTCCTATAGTTCTTGTGGTGTTTCGAACAAATCTGACCTTCGTTTCTGGTGCTCACTGCCCTAAGCTAACCTAAGAGAAACCTGGCTGCTATCCAGTAGGTAGTAGGCAGCTACCAAACATGGAGGTACTACCATTTGGGAAGATAATGGAAGCATAATGTATTGTCTAATGGTAGACCCTGCTACCATATGGCATCATAAAAATTGTGACCAAGTCCCAGGCTGCTGATCTGACTTTTTGCCTCATTTACACACAATTGCAGGGTCTCATTTGTTTCTCTTAACATTGACAACACAACACTTATATTGTATATTGTTTCTCACTCTTGATATTTTTTTATTTTTTTCATTTTTGTATGTCTTTATTATTATTATTATTATTATTATTATTATTATTATTATTATTATTATTATTATTATCATCATTATTATTATCATCATTATTATTTCATTATTTTATTTTTTTATATATTGTATTTATTGTGAATTAATATTATTATTATTATTATTATTATTATTATTATTATTATTATTATTATTACTGTATTACTACAGTACTACTAAAGTAGAACATTGATATAACGCGATATACGATATACGTTCCAAGAGAGGTCGCTTTAAACCGAATTCACGCTAAATCGAAGTGTTGTTTCAATGGAATAATTTAGTTTGGTACTTGAGAGAAACACAAAATACTAAAAAGACTGAGAGTCTACCCAGATGCACCTCATCCCATCTAGAAAAAACAAAACATTTTTTTTTGTAGTACCCTGTATTATGTTAAAACAAACACTCATATATCAACACAGCTAAAATTATGGGACGTGAAATGGTCTGTTTACTAGCGATCAACTGTTGGGAAGGGGGGGGGGGTGGTGAGGTGACCTAGTAGAATATAATTTACATTGCTGGAATTCTTATAAGATAGTGATTAATTTGAATATAATCATGCTATAGTTTTCACTAGACAAAAATTTTAATTATCATTTAGTACATCATTTTGAGTACATGTACAGCACAGCTTTGCCGTTAGGACAGTGTAGCATGCCCAGAGAAACATTATACACGAATTTTAAATATGATGCACCAAATTAACTCGCGCAAATTAGGAAAGATTCTCTTTAAATTAAAACATTGTCCTTAATTATGGGTGTCGCTTTAAATCGATGTTCTACTGTACTACTACTACTACTACATTTTTGCCCCCCAGGCCCTGATGTGGGTCAGTGACCTGTGCCTGGGTGGGCTAATGCCCGTAAAAAAAAAAAAAATTGTAAGATTTTAAGCTGAATTATTTTTTGGTAATCACATGTACTGTACAGTATATTTGAGGTGCAGTCGCTTGCACTTATACCTGGTACAGTGGCTGGCACATTTTGTGAGGTGTGGCCCTAAGGAATGATGTTAGATAATCATTCCACCCACATAGTTGCCACATCTCACCAGGTATACTGTAAGTGCAGGTGACTGTACAAATCAGTGGACAGTTAGTTCGTTACTACTTTAAATGTGAAAATTTTATTTTTGCCCTAAGGGATGACTATGATAGGCACATAGGCTTCTGTTTAATGTAACCTAACTGTAACATTAGACCCAGTCATAATTATCCCCAATGTTAAAGGTTAATTTAGGTTTGGCCCCCAGATAATTATGATTCTTACATTGATGATATGAACCATCCTGAGTTATTGATATGATTTAGAGTAAGGCCATAATTTTGATCAGACTCCAATACCAACATTTGGCCTCATAAGCTTGCAACCATTGTCAAGAGCATAAGGAAATTTTGCCAAAAACTGTTTGTAGCATTAAAGGCTCACTGTGGTCAAATGTTCTGTAGTAACCAGTGTTCAGATTTAAAAAGAAAAAAGAGAGAACTTATTTTGAATATGTATTAATGGGGTTTCTGTACTCCCCTGAACTTTTATTTTGCCACAAATCATCCATCATATCTTCAAGATTTCTTCCTGGCTAGAGACATAAAGGTGAAGCTTCAACAAACTCAGTTAAAAGATGAGTAGGGAAGAATTGTCGGATTACTGAGCCAAGACTGGTGATGGCAGAGTCCTGTACTGTACAGTATTCAGGCATTTTGTTTAATGTGCATCAAGTTATCAACAGTTCTACACTCGGCAGTCTGCTGTATAAAGAAAACTTATGAATGTGTTTGAAAATAGACTTGTATGAGACAGACTAAACTGTACAAACTTACACAGTAATCCCTTATTTTTCATATTGATCCCATTTTACTACAGTTCCTAGTATCAAGAGTGTTCTGTACAGTACTGTTTCTATTTAGGAGATAGCTGTAGGTGCTGTAATAGAGAAATAATTGGCAAATTATATATATTGTACTGTATTGTAGGTTGTAGTAAAATGAAGTGCACTATCAAAAGTACTAGTAATGCAAAATCACAATGTAAATTTCACATTAACTGTGTACACTATAATTAGAAAAAGCTATTTTCTAGGGGATCAATTCTGTATACAGTATTAATTGTAGCTCGTACATTACAGAGTATAATTTTACTCGGTGGGATTAAAATATAATTTGTGGAGACTTTTTGTTTATTAATGACACATGTTATGACTCATTATTTTTCCACAGCCACCCAAGACTGAAGGCCTCAATTTTTCTGGATATGTGCCCATGGGTAAGTCTTTCATTTTGTGAGTTCAGCTCAGTACATGTATGTTGAATTTGAGAAGCTGCTTCTGCATATTTCAGTTTTGAAAATATGAAAACCCATGTACACTTATATACTGTACTGTGGTATAGGTATAGATTGAGCCAGTTATGAGCATTTTCTGGTGTCCTGGGTCATCCATGTTACCCCAAACCTACCAGGAGGCTACTCAAGCTTTGCTTTAAGAACAACATATGAACATTAGAATGGAGAAAACTTCACTGGGCCTATTGGCCCATACTGGGAAGTCCCATTTACACCCAACCCCTATCGCTCATATATCCATCCAACCTACGTTTGAAGCTATCCAGTGTATCCACAACTCTATTTCCAAACCAATGTTTACTTATCTCACACCTAAATCTAAATTTGCCTAATTTAAAACCATTACTACAAGTTTGCTCTTGGTTGGATAGTTTGTGTACCTTTGTTCAGCCCTGACTTCCAGTTATACACCTCGATCATATCGCCCCTCACTCTACGTCTCTTGAGGGAGTGCAAATTTAGATGCTTTAACCTGTCTCTGTACTCAAGGTTCCTAATGTTTTATTTGTTTTATTTCTTAAATAACAAAATAAGGAAAACATTGTTGTGTACATAATTAAAAAACAAAACATACAGTATTAAGTACTTTACTGTACTCTGCAGAACTTAATACTGTACTGTATTTGGAAGTGACTGACACACACATGTAATTTTTTCTGCAACACCCAGTTCAACTTGGCCATTCTCCAGCTCCTGGTCTGAGGGTTGGAGAACTCCTGTACATTTGGATTTCTTCCAGTTAAGCTTGATGTATGACAGGGGTCATATGAAACACTTTACTAACTGATTTATAAACTATTTGATATTAATGATTTAATTATTGTTTACCCGAAGATTAATAAACTGTGATTTGATTGTAATCCGTAAGATTTCCGCCATGTTTTTTATTATGGTTTAATGTTGTGTATGTGCACAAGTTGCATGTGTGATAGTTTCAGAGGTAGAGCATATCTGACAGTAGTGTGGAGATGAAATGCACAAGTGTGACAACCCCTTAAAAGTGAGTTATTGTTTTGTTTTTAAACAATTCAGAAGCTTCTAGTGGCGAAGTGAAGGTCACATTGCACTAAAATCTAATGCAGGGGTGGCCAACCTTTTACATACCATGCGTCAATTTGTTCACACACGAGTTCAGATGCGCCATACAACTCTTGTACCCCCGTCTACTTCTTGTAAAAATATGTTTATAGACATAATTAGCATTTTTACATGATAAAATTATTAAATATAAAAACAATATCTGATAAAGCAGATAAACATTACTTACCTTTAATGAGACTTTTGAGTCTGTTTTGATTTTGCCAGTCTTTCAATGTTTGGAGTTAAATTTGTTACTGAGAGCAGCAGAGAATTCTTCAAATCTGAATCAGTCAGTCGCGACCTCGTTATGCTTTTAATCAATTTCATGGATGAAAATACTTGTTCACATCTATATGCCGTTCCGAAACGACATATATAACTCTGGGCAAATTTTCTTAGTTCTGGGAAATTTTCACAGGGTAATGATCGCCAGAAATTAATCATGTCATAAGCATTTGGGACTGAGGAAAGCTCATCAAATTTCATTTTCAATAATGAATTTGTTTTCAAGTCAATAAGTTCCATTTGTATGTCACTAGGCATCTTCATTATTTTTTGTTCACTAAGTGAAAATGGGTTTATAAATGCGAGTATGCAGTCTTCTTCTTTAGCAAAATCACGAAAACGACTTTCAAATGACTCGTGCAATAACTTGATTTTTTCAGTATATTTTGTCAAATTGCCATTATCAGCAGCACATTCACTCTGCTCTTTTAAGTGCAGAAACTGGCTCAAATCCTCATTTTCTAACTGAGAGATGAACAGTTTTAACTTCATCTTGAATGCATTGTTGTCATTTACTAAGCTAGGAAACAATTTGTTCTTGCCCTGCAGTTTCAAATTTAGATCATTGAGATGTCTGGTAACATCAACTAAAAATGCCAAATCAAATAGCCAGTTTTTATCACATAAAAGGGCTCTTTCCTCAGGTAGCTCATTTTTCTCTTCTAGAAAATTATGAACAGTATTTTTCAGTTTCCAAAACCTACTCAGAACCTGTCCTCTAGAAAGCCAGCACACCTCACAATGAAGGACAAGGTCGCCATATTCTAAATCAAACATTTCACAATATTCTCTGAATTCTCGTCTGTTTAATGCTCTTGCTCTAATTTTATTCACACATTTCGCAACCGGTAACATAACATGCTGCAAATTTAAAGTTTTTCCACACAGTGACTCTTGTTGTGTAATGCAGTGATACTTTAATAGAAGACGATTTAAAAAGTTTTCAAGCAAAGTTGTAGTCCCAGTGACTTTACCTATCATTGACGGCGCTGTCGGTACACACAGTGATGAGTTTACTAGAATCTAATTGTGGATTTTCTAGGCATGATTTTGCTTTGTCAAATATGTCTGATCCTCTTGTTTTTCTATGAAGCGACTCAAGACTGACAAGTTCTTCAAAGACATTAAAATGATCATCAATTCCTCATATAAAAATGCTTAACTGGGCTACATCACATATGTCAGTTGATTTGTCCAAAGCTAAAGAAAAAAAAGTACAAGAATGGACAAGGTCTTTCTGTTACTGAGATACATCATGAGAGAGTTCCTCTGTACGTCTCGTAACTGTCTGCTTTGATAGAGCAATTTCGTCTGCTTTCCTTTCAATACTTTTATCACCAAGACGTCTTGCAAATGTTTGGAGACAAGGCTTAACAATTTCTTCTCCATCAGAGAAAGACTTCCTTTTTTTGCCAATGCTAAAGCAATTTCATAGGACTCTTCTGTCATCGACAAACTTTCACAACTTTTTTTAACAAATACATTTTGTGTTCTTCTGAATTCTTCCTTTTCTTGGTCACATATTCTTTCCGTAACTCAGACCCAAGCACGAGCTTCAGTTTTCCTTCTATTTCAGTCTGATGCTGTTTTTTATAGTGTCTATTAAGATCATGTCTTCTATTCTGTGAAAGAGTGTTTTCACAAACAATGCACAACGGTTTTCCTGACGGACCCGCTATAAATAACAACTCATTTTCCCACTGTTCATTGAATTCACGCTCATCACTTTCTGCTTTTCTTTTGCACTGTGAAGGGTGACTGGAATGTAACAACAAGGCTTAATTTTTTAAAAGTACAAAACTGCAAATGTTCACAAAGGACAAACAAAGCACGGCATCGTACCGCACCGAGCGTCAGTTGCAAACTGGCAAGAACCTGTGATGCACTGCTGGGGCAGACGCCTGGCACCTCACGGTCACACAAGTATTAAACGCGTATTGAACAGTTATGGGACGATTGCAGAACAAAAGTCCATCTTTCCTAGTTTGATTCATTAAGCATATTTTTAACTGAAAACAGATTAATGTGAAAGAAGATAACATTCGCTAAAAAGGATGTGCACGAAATAATAAAATCGCTAAAAATAATGAGTAGGCTTACTGCCTTACTTTATTATTATCACAGGGATGCAATGCGCCACTTCTAATCATCCAATGCCTTGTATTGGTCAAATTAAACTAAAGATTTGAGATAAATTATGCCATATTCTGCCTGTCACAAGGGCCAAGTGAGAACGAGCAACATCAGGCAAAATTTACCTTGATTCTTTGGTTTAAGTTGACCAATATCAACCCTCTGGTAATCCTGGCTATGGTTGGAAATATCACCCACTCGCAGCCTTTTGACGCAGGGAACACTCCAGGCCCAAGTTACACCATTACAGATGCATCTGCCAGCCCACTAGGGCTAGTGGGAAGAACTTGGGTGGTTGATAGGGCGGTGACTTCTAAGTGGGACCATGACATCCAGCCAGGCCAGATGGTACCATGACATCCAGCTAGATGGTACCATGACTCCCAGCCAGATGGTACAGTTGTGGAAATGTGTTCCTACATCCCCTGTGGTAACCGTCGTCTCCAAACAAACCTATCTACTAATTACGACCTTCATTACACGACCAATACCCAATCATTTATAAATAGTGATAACACTACTGTGACGTTACTGTTTGGAGTCATGGGTTTCCACGGGGGTGTAGGAACACATTTCCACAACTGTAGTACCATAAGGCTGTCTGATTATTCAAAATGTTTAAAAAGAAAAATAATGATACAAAAGGGTAAACCAACTTTTATGTTTTATAAATAAATATTCCTTTTACAGATAAAGTTCAGGTGTTGTACTCCCGCAGCAGTGGACCGGGCGGACAGAATGTAAACAAAGTAAATACCAAAGTGGATCTACGATTTCATGTGGACACAGCTGATTGGCTGTCACAAGAATTGAAGGAACAAATTACTGAAAAGGTTAGAAATGTATATTTCAAATTACTCCTCCTGGTTCCTAAGCTCCCCCCCCCCACCCCCCCAAACACACTAATGGTATAAAGTTTTTGTGAATGTCTAACACTGGAATCCTCTTAAGATATTGGAGTTAAATTCTGCATTTCTGACACTTAGTAGCCTATTTGTGACCAGCCATGGAATGGATAACCCAGGAAGTGCAGTTCACTATATCCAGATTGCCCTTCACATTTAGGCTCGTGCATCTCTTGATCCAGCTGGTCTCTTCCATTCTCTCCACATGCCCAAACTCTCACAACCTGCCTCAGCACAAGACTTGGCCAATACTCTCAATATGCAACCACCCTCTTAGTTCTGAACATAGCCTCCTGTCTTTCAATGTCACAGTACACCTCACCATTCTCATTTCAGCATGCTCAAGCCTACTTATGTCATCCTCTTTAACTACCCATTTTTCACCGCCATCATTCAGAGTACAGTAGGGTCGGGATATATCCCGAGATAAGATCCAACGATGTTCGCTATAGTATACTAAATCGCGATATATAATTACATGTAATCAATGGGGAAATTTGGGTTAGGTACTGGAGGCCAATAAAAGTGACTACCGTATATCTCTGCCTCCAAGGCGACGGGGTGTATAAGACGACCCCCAAAATTTCCATTTAAAAAGTAGGTTTTGAGCTCTATTCGCAATATAAGACTACCTCAAATGTGACACTTACCATTGGGAGCTTACTGACCCAGTAGTCCTTTACCAACCATCCCACTGACCAGTGCTGTTTACACATCCTTGGTTATTTAAAATAAGGCCAATTCACTTCAAGTAATGGCATCAAATGTTACCAGCTGGTGTAGTGTAAACACTAGTGATGTCACTTAAGCGTCTGTTATTTAACTGGAACTAATTTCGGTGTCGAGTAAAATTTTTCCATTTACTTGAAATGGATTTACCGATTTATTTGTTTTTTATTTATTTATAATACACTGTACTGTAATATATTAAACACACTGTAAGTATTTTCTTTAATTTATAAACTTGCTTCGTGACAAAGGAAGGCGATACCCAGTAGGTGAAGGTTACCTGATACATTTAAGGATCAAACTCCGAATCAGATGACGTGACTTCGGCTTCTTCATTCTCATCCTAAATTTAGCATGACGAAAACTACTACTGTCGGTAATTTCAAGAATTATCGCAGTCGTTTACTGAATATTCTTTGTAAAGAAATATATTTTGAATTAATTATTTATAGGAGATAAGTATTATGATCAGTAAATATACCGGGATGCATTACTGGCCACTTCGGACACAAAGACTGGCTAAAAATAGCCCCATCTCCCCCTCGGCCATTGGGAAACGTCGTGGTAATTAAATTTTGTTTGTTTATTTTCATTGTTTGTCTAATTTATCATGTTGTATCAAAGTAATATTACTAAAAGTTGTGTAGGTAGTAGGCAGCTACTAAACAAGGAGGTACAGTCGACCCTCGTTAATTCGGACTAATATGGGGGGGGAGGGTGTCCGTTTTAGCCGATTGTCCGAATTAACCGATTTAGGGTTTAATATTGCATTATATTTAAAAGTAATTGTTTTCGTCACGATTTTTTCCCACTCTCCACTGTAATACGTACGTAATTTCAGCAAAAATATTACATTTCCGTGAATGTATTATATCAAGCACAGTATGAATAGAATATCATTGTAATATAACAGTATTTTAACCGAAAACTCGTAAAAAAACGAATAACATCTCAAGAACATCGGAAGCTTAGGTAAAGTCTTTTGTTTTCGTCGTGTACTTTATCCTATTTTACATTGAAATACATCACATTTCAGCAAAACTACTATTTATTTCCGAGAATATATTCATTCAGGCGCAGTTTAGGTAAAATATACGTGTGATGTAACAGTTTTTTAACTGAAAACAATTCGAAAAACACGTACCCTCTCGCCCTGTTCAAGGAGAGGACTGGGAGAAGCTGTTTGGTGCTGCAGACGATGACAAGGAAAATGATTTGGATGGATTTTAATGAAAATATTCAGAAATATGGTATCGTAGTATTTATTCAAGTCAATTAGGATAGAATATTATTGTAATACAAAAAATTTTTAACTGAAAACGAATCGAAAAGCGATTACGGTAACATCTTTTGAACGAAAGAAAGCGAAAGTCATTATTTTCGTCACGATTTTATCCCACTTTCTACTGTAATACGTACGTCATTTCAGCAAAAATATTACATTTCCGTGAATGCATTATATCAAGCTCAGTATGAATAGAATACCATTGTAATATAACAGTATTTTAACCAAAAACTATTAAAAAACACGAGTAACTTCTCTTGAACATCGGAAGGTTTGGTAAAATCTTTTGTTTTCGTCATGTATTTTATCCTATTTTACATTAAAATACATCACGTTTCAGCAAAACTACTATTTATTTCCGAGAATATATTCATTCAGGCACAGTTAAGGTAAAATATACATGTGATGTAACAGTTTTTTAACTGAAAACGATTCGAAAAACACGTGTACCATCTAGCTGATTGATACTCAACAGCTGGTGGTGCATCATGCGTCGTTGTAAACAATTGGAGGTTGAAGTAGATTACCGGGAACAGTGGTCCCTCGGTTAACGAGCACAATCCGTTCCAGCAGGTTGCTCGTTAACCGAAACCATTGTTTCAATGGGATTTTGGGTAATTGGTTCCAGCTCACCGAAAATTGCCTAAATTCAACAAAAAAGGTAGAAAAGTACACTTACTTTGAGGTGTGTATGTAGAAGGCTCCTGGATGATGATGATGATGATGGGAATTAGAATGGGGGTGGAGGTGAAGGAAGAAGAGAAGGCATTGGGGTGGAAGAGAAGTCGCCCCATGGCACCATTTCACCCATAAAATTTTAGCTCTCTTGGTGTAATTCAAGATTATTTTCTTTAAATCAACACTGCACTGCATTATATATTGTCAATATGTAAAATATATTTCAAAATGACCAATAATTTGCTTGGAACCACAGAAAAAAGGCGTTTAGTTGAAGAGTCTCGAGCAAGATGTTACCTCCACTGAAAACAGAGAGAGACTAACGCCTGTCTGGTGTGTTAACAGGCTGGATGGCACGCCAGAAACTAGTTTCTTTACCTTCAATTATGTTCAATAATTGTTAAAATGACTAAAAAAGTTAATATTAAACTTTTAAAATTATTGAATAGTATAAACTTCTTGATATTTACTAAAATAGTAAGGAATTTAAGCCCTAAAACCGATTACTGTATTGGCAGACTAATACTACAGCTGGTGGACCGCCAAATGCAAGCGAAAACATGTTGAGGTCGGCTCGTAAAAATCTCGTTAATCGAAGTTAAGAATCTTATGGAAGGTAAATCGTTAACTGATGCGCTCGTTAACCGAGGGACCACTGTATTATAATAAGTGTGAAATATCGAAAAGGTTTTTATTACCGGTATTTTTTGTAGATCAATGAGAACTGTGATACCATATATATGATATGATAAGTTAGCCTGTGCTAAGAACTTCAACATAGACTACTGAAAACACGTTGTAAGGTAATTTAGCCTATTGTAAGTTGGTGAGCTTCATTTGCTGAAGGAACTGCACAACTTTTCATTACTAATTGGTACATATTTTACGTTTCCATTGTTTACTGGCAGTAAATGGTAAATATTTTTCATGTCTGAAGCTAAAAGTTGCATCCCCCCCCCCCACACTAGTGGTGGAGATGTTACATTTAACCAAAAAGACGCTGGTGTTTTATCCCAGCAGTGGGTGGACCAGCATTTTAGCTTAAGGTCCGCGTAGGTAATATTCCTACAAATCTAAAAAAAAAAAAGTTTGTTCAGATTTTGTCCGAATTATCCGAAATCCGGATTAAAGGGGTCCGAATTAACGAGGGTCGACTGTACTACCACCTGGGAAGATATTGGAAGCATAATGTGTTGTGTAATGGTAGACCCTACTGCCATATGGCATCACGAAAATTGTGACCATGTCCCTGGTTTCTCCTCTGACTTTCTGCCTCATTTACACACAATTGCAGGGTCTCAATTGCTTCTCTTACTTAGACAACACAACATACATACAGTATATTGTTTCTCACTTTTGATCTTTTTTCATTTTTGTATTTATTTGTCGTTCTTTATTACTGTATTACTATTTTATTTTAAATTTTGATTTTTTTTTTATTATTACCCGGTATTATTATTATTATTATTTCTATTACTATTATTATTATTATTATTATTATTATTATTATTATTACATTTTCGTCCCCCAGACCCCGATGTGGGTCAGTGACTTGTGCTCGGGTGGGCTAATCCCCGTTAAAAAAATATATAATACCGATAATGCTATGATTGTGTTATAAATATATTTGTTTGTGGAATTATTATTCCGATAATTATTTGTAAAACCTACGTGGTCTCCCAAGGTAAAGCCTGATGACAGTCTGCGTGGGTGTGTCGCTGAGAACTTCTTATGAAGAGTATTGCAAATAAAACAGTCTAAATGAATTATTTATGGGAAATACGTATTACGATCAGTAAAGAACTGCATTACACTATTGGTCAACTCGGAGACAAAGGCAAGCGGGAAAATGATCCCTAAAAGTGCGTAGTGACAGCAAGTGCTGGATGTAAAAAAAACACTTTCCCTTTTTTGTCTCGTCACTGGCAAATGGCGGGCGGTGCGTGATGATAGCTGCGTTTATTACCGTGGTATGTTGTTATTTTACGGTATGTTAGACAGGTTTATAATACATTTTTATTATTTTAATATACAGTATAGTCTGGATTTACGCGGTTTTTGTTAACGCATTTGGTCATTTACGCGGTGCCTTGCCAGAATGAAATGCTTTAATTACGCTATAAATTTAGTCATTTATGCGGGAAGCGGCGCAGGCAGGGTGCGCACAAGGTCGCCCAGTCATCAAAACATTACCGAGTTCTTCACCCACCACAGTCGGCCCAAGTCAGTGAAAGTGAGGATATGGACTTTGAGGGGTTTGACAAAGAGGCCCTGCAAGCCTCTGTGGTGGATAGTGATACAATTGATACAAGTGATACAGGTGAGGGCCACTAATCTGCCCTCTGCCTCGGAACCAACCCCCCATCCCCATGTGCCCAGCCATCTTTTCTACTAACGTAAGTGTTAAAAAACCTAATATTATTTATATTTCTCTTAATTATTAATTGCGTGTGCATACCATCATAAAATTAAGATGTATTTTGACTACAAGGTACGTATTGTGTCGGAAAAAGTGGAGTTTGTGGGTCAGCCCAGTCTCTATTTCAATTAATCCCATATGTTCTGTTATTTCATTTACGCGTTTCTCGTTTTATGCGGGCCTCCACGGGTTCAATTGACTGCGTAAATGCAGACTATACTCTACCGGTAATCTTATTTTTAATCCAGCTTCCCAAACGTAAGTTTCAGTATAAAATAATTAGTGGTAGGACCGTGTGAGTGGTTTACGATGTTTTCCATCACCACTCTTGACACGCTAAACCACAATACAATATGTAAGAGGTAAGAATTTTATACCCGGTATTTAAGACGACCCCTAATTTTGGGCTGATTTTTTTAAGGTTTCAATTCCGTCTTATAGGCTGAGATATACGGTAGTGACTCTCCCTGTGGCAGAAGGTCCCTGACAGTGGGACAGTCAAGGCAATAGTGTTGAAGGGTGTTAGTGTTGGGACAGCTACAGAGTTTACAGGAAGAGAAGAGCGAGTCATCCCCTGCCTCAGATACGTATTTCTCTTTTGGTAGGTCATGCTGGGCTTATATTTAGGCCTAAGTTATTCTGATTTGACAGCTATAACTTTGATAATTAGTTATTTCTATATAGTGAGGTATTACTGTACGTTACATACTAATACAGTACAACATTTCTTTTTTCAGTACAAGACCAGTATTACTGTTGATGGATTCTTGGTACTACGATCAGACAAGACACGATCTCAACAGCTGAACTTGGCAGATGCGATGGACAAATTGCGCCATTTGATCCACACAGCCAGCTACGTCCCTTCTTCCCCATCTAAAGAAGACGAAGAAAGACACCGGAGAAGGTAAAGATTCACTAACCTTCTTGTACTTGGTGGGCAGCCAGTCTGGTAAAATGAGAGTACTGGTTACTTGTAGTCATTCCTTTAACCAGGAAATTCTCAGCAAACCAAATGTTTTCTGGTTATGTATGCAATTTTTGGGATTTCAATTATGCACCCACCACACAATAGACCTAACACATAGGAAAAGGAAGAAACAAAAACTGTAGTGGTATATTCATTGTTCACCGCCCCCATCCCTTGCCATAAACAAAAGAAGACTCAAAGACTAAAAGAAATTGAATTTTTGTCAAATAAAACAAACCAACAAACAAACAGTGCACAAGCTTCATGCAGCACCTGGAGGCAATAGGGGAGGAAGAGGCAGTGATGAGTGAAGTTCAGAGAAGGTTGCTTGAATAAAGGTACTGTTACTTTGAGAAAAACTTACTCAAGTAAAAACAGAATTACACTTTCTTAATATTACTTCAAGTAAAAGTTAACACGATTATAAAGTATTCAAGTACGTATTCAGATTACAAATATCACTACAATAAGAATTTGTTCAGAATAAAGACATACAGTTATGTAGTGCCACACAATAAACTAGATAATTTTGATTCACCAAGCTGCTGGCTGTAGCCTTTAGGTATAATGATCCCTGTACTGCTAATAATAAAACACTACTGTAGGCATATACTATAGACACTCCCCAGGTTATCCATAAGCTGAATTATGTCACCATAAGTGACCCTTCCAGAGGTATTTGCTGAACACATACTGTATACATAATGTATATACAATTACTATACAGGTATGGGACCATTTATCTGTTGCCATATAAGGGTTTTTCCCGGAATTTGGAGCATCAGGCTTAAGTACTGTATACAGTAAACCCTCTAACTGCCTGTGAAGATCACTAGATTTGCCCCTAAAAGTAGCTTTAACTACAGTAAATTCCCTCTAATCCGTACTAATTGAGGGGAAGGCCTGACTGGTTTCACCAAAATTACGGGTTGGGCGGAGGTCTGTACAGTATTGTGTATTTTGCAAAGTGAAAGCTTCCAGAAGTTAGGGAAATATTAAGAGTCAACCTACCTGAACACCAAGGCACTGTAATTTTGAGCTTAGAATTAACAGGCTCAGGGTTTATATATACATTATACCTTATGAACTTTTTTTTTAACCATTTAGACTTTTAACATGGGGAAAAAGTCAATTTTCCTTGATCCATCGTATACTCACATCAGCTGTACTCCGCGAAGTCACCATGCAGCTGGTGTTACCAGGAGCTCTCATATGCCTGGCATTTAAATGGTTTCTATGAAAGTTCTATGCTATTTATTATTTATGTTTTGCCACTTTTACTAGTACTGTACTGTATTTCTTGTTTTCTAGATCATTTTTGGGTTTTGAGCCATAAAACAAAAATTTTATTTATCCTGACCAGGGGGTACCATGTACAGTAAAGTCAAAAAATCGGATGCAAAATCCGGACCACCTGAAATCGGACTTTTAACTTTTTTTTTTAGCGGGCTTTGTGTATGTCGCATGCGTGGCGCCACAGCTGCACAAGCAACAACAAGAGACACGTGGTCACCAATTTAAAACAAGCAATCAAACTGTGACAACATACGTATACTGTCTACTCCTCCCCCCCTCGTTTATCGGTCGACCCTGATTTTTACCAAGAAATCGTTAATTTATAATATTCCTCGCTTATAATTCGACCAACGTTTTGAGGTAATGGAACAACAAAACCTTCAGTAAAAACACTCTACGTCCTATAAACTGAGGCCATGCCTGAAACACAGTGCGAAGGCAAATTGTTTACCATTTATTATTACACACTTTACACACTGAAGCGGTAGTTTCAACAAAAATATTGTATATCTCCATTCAAGTATTTATTCAAGTCTATTACATATTATTTCAACAAAAATATTACATTTCCGTGAATGCATTATATCAGCGCAGTGAATAGAATACCATTGTAATATAACAGAATTTTAACGAAAACTATTAAAAAAAAGTAACATCTCAAGAACATCGGAGCTCAAGTAAAGTCTTTTGTTTTAGTCACCATTTTTATCCTATTTTACATTGAAATACATCACGTTTCAGCAAAACTACTATTTATTTACGAATATATATTCATTCAGGCGCAGTTTGGGTAAAATATATGTGTGATGTAGTTTTTTACCTAATCGATTGAAAACGTGCCCTCTAGCCCTGTTCAAGGAGAGGACTGGGAGAAGCTGTTTGGTGCTGCAGATGATGACAAGGAAAATGATTTTGATGGATTTTGATGAAAATATTCAGAAATATGGTATGTAGTATTTATTCAAGTCAATTAGGATAGAATATTATTGTAATACAACAGTTTTAACTAAAACCATTGACGATTACGGTAACATCTTTTGACGAAAAGAAAGCGAAAGTCATTGTTTTTATCACGATTTTATCACTTTCCACTGTAATCGTCGCCATTTCAGCAAAAATATTACATTTCGTGAATGCATTATATCAAGCACAGTATGAATAGAATACCATTGTAATATAACAAAATTTTGAGTCCTCTTTTCCATTTACAGAGTATTGTACAAGCCCATAATAATGGCTGCTAAAGTAGATAAACCGTTGTGTGAAGAGAAAAGAAGAACATGTTGAAATTGAGTGACAAACTTGAAATAATTAAGAAACTAGAGCTGCTGTGAACAGCCTGTTCTAATGGAAACATACGACATTGGAAAGTCTACAATTTATGATATAAAAAGAACCAAAGAATAAAATTCTAGAATTCACAGCTTTTCATTAAAACTGCTCGTTTTGATAAATGAAGCATGCTATATTTGCAAATGAATAAACTATCAAAATGTACCTGTTCATCTCTTCTTTATTCCTCCTTAAATTTGAATTTTAAAAGTACTGCCTGAGAATCCGGAAAATCCAATCCGGACCGACATTCCAAGCAGATCCGGATTTTTGGACTTCTACTGTATGTATAATAATGTGACCTTTTATGGGTTAAGTCTGTGGGACTCACTTTCACACATAGTAGGATAATATTACTGGATTTTTATCCCCAGGCATGAGGCATCAGTGCGAAAGGTTGCACCAGAAGAAAGCCCGTTCTTTAACCAAGCAAGGCAGACAAGCACCTCAGTTGGACTTGTGATATGACTTTTTCATTATGTGACCTGTAACATTATTAAACAAATATCACCTCATAATATTTATTCATTAATAACAATGATGCCTTTATCTTTTGAACAAAAGTACCTACTACTGTACAGTGATAAAACATATGAACATCTTGTTTTGTATTCATTATGAATTTGGATAATTTCAAAACAATAATTACCTTTTACTTTTGATCACTTTAGCAGTTCCTTTATACTATCCGATAATTAGTGTGTACTTTTACAGTATAAACACAGAATATAATTATTACTCCCTGTATCATGTACAGATGTAGGTACTGTAATGTAACATTGTTATTATTGACTACATATTAATATTGTATTGTTTTTAACCTTAGCCATCATGAGTTGTTTAAATTATGTTCTCAAGGTGTTACCAGTCATTTAGTGTGTTAGACTTTACCTTGTGTACCAACAGTCAACAAGTGTGACATACAGCAGCAACCACAGCTGACTTGACTTAGGATGAAGCTTAAGAATGTTGTTGGTTTGGTGAAGCCAGGGTTGAAATTCTTTGTTGGTGGCCATTTCAAATTTTGGGTATCTTCACGAAAGTTCCACAGGATATCAGTGTGATTACTGTATTTTTTATGTGTACTTGACTTAGTAGCAACAAATTCTAGTACTCTGATGTATATAAAGGAAGTATTTGATTGGATTAAAATTGCCAAATTTTGAGGAATTTTACTTGCTTGGAATTTCTGTAATAAATAAATTTTCTTTATATTTGCCACAACGTACAAGTAGAGACCTAAGAGACATGTTCATGAAGCAAGTCTTAAGTTGATTAAACCTGGAAGCATAGCAGCGGAGCTAAGCATAGATCATCGTAGTGTCTAATTCTGGTACATTACATTGTAAAGTAAAATAATACATTACATTTTGTACTTAGCATTAATTTGGTCTTTGTCTTAAAGTTTTAACTACTGTACTGTTAAAAATTGGACAAGTGTCATTATTAACTCTAACCACAAGTGAACCTATGCCAGAGTGTAAAGTCATATGAAACAGGAAGATTTGAACTAATGAAGGTTATGACATAAGATATACAGGGAAACTTTTGTCGTGGCCCTTGACATCTCCAAAGCATTTGACAGGGTATGGCACAAGTCTTTGCTATCTAAACTAACCTCTTTTGGTTTCTCTCCCCTTTGTTCTCTCATCTCCAGCTTCCTTGAGAATCGATCCATGGCAGTTGTTGTCCGAGGATCGATTTCCCTCTTTTCTCTACCAGTAGTGGCGTCCCACAGGGTTATGTTCTTTCACCAACTCTCTTCCTTCTTTTTATCAATGATTTACTTCACACTACAACTAATTCTATCCATTCTTACATATGATTCTACTCTTCACTCTTCCTCACATTTTCCCCTTCCTCCTAACTCTCAAACTAGATCTGTTTCTAAAACTGATATCATTACTTCATCAACGGATCTGTGCAGCATCTCTGAATGAGGAGATACAAACTTGATTAAGTTCAATAGTAACAAAACTCAATATTTACCAATTACACTTTGTAAATTAGGCGATCTCCCAAATTACATTTCAGGGCGCTATCATCCTCCCAAATTCTGAAATAAATATGTTAAGCCTCACCATTTTCCTCAATATGTCCTGAAATCACACATCCTTGGTATAACAAGCTGCCTCCCAAAGTTGGGAATGCTGCACAGATGCCACAGCTACTTCACTCCGAGCAGTTGCTCCAAGTATATAAGGGATTCATTAGTCCTAACTTGGAGTACTGCTCTCATATCTGGGGTGGCTCTTCTTCTGTCCAATTATTAGATAGGGTGGAATCAAAAGGCATTTTGTCTTATTAACTCTCCTCCTTTAGTCGACAATCTCTCTCCCCTTTCTCTTCCCCATAATGTTGCTTCACTCTCTCTCTCTTTTACAGGTACACTAACGGGCAATGTTCAGTGGATTTGGCGTCCTCTGTACGCCCGGCAAGGCCGTGGGTTAAATAACACGTCTTGCCAGTGCCCACCATTCTCTGTGGATGTCGGTCCACAGAATAACCGTTATAACCTCCTTCTTTCTCACACAGCAAACTGTGGAATGCTCTGCCTTCTTCTGTGTTTCCTTGCTCTTACAATGTCTCACTTAAGCTGATTTTCCAGCATCTTACGTGGTGTAGATTAATACAGTATAACCTTTTTCTATATATTCAATTTCTTTCCATTCTTTTTTTTTTTCGCCAGGCTCCGGTGTGGGTTGTTTGACCTGTGCCCGGTGGGCTAATTCCGTAAAAAAAAAGTTCTTCCTGATGCTAATCTAGGGTTAAATGAGTTTTGGTCAGCCAATCTTTTGCAAAATGGAATTCCAAAAGAAGAGTCATTGGTCTCTCCAGATGCCCTCATAGGCCTAGTGGGGGGTGATACTAAAGTTTTCTGATAAGGTCATTGTTGTTGATTATTTTGATGTGTTTTCTTTTCTGAATCAATGAAGCAAAGTGCCCCAACACCACACTAACCCTGCAAACAACAGTATTGGAAAACACATAGCCTCGTGCAGGTGATTATCTCCGTTAGCGGAACAATTGGTGCAGAGCACTTCGGTAATGAAAATTCGGGTAACGAGGCGACTCTCAAAGCCGGAAAAATCCTCGTCCTCGTGATTTTCTGGAGTACTTGAAACATTTTCTCGGAAGTTCAGAAATGCCCATTACATCATCTCTCGAATCAATATCCTCATCAGGAATTTTCAGAATGGAAAATTTTCTCGGATTTAAAAAACGATTTTCATCTCTCAAACCTGGAAAAAAAACCCATCCCTGAATTTTCTAGGTAGGTTTCTCTGAATTTTCCAGAAAATGTCCCTCGGAATATCTTTCCCAAAGCGAATTTCCCGGAAAATTACGACTATCAGAAGTTCAGTTTGAGAGTTCGGCTAACAGAGATACAGTCTCTCCTCGATTGACAGGGGTTCGTCTCGTCGACCAGGTTCTAAGTCGAATTGGTCACAAGTGGAAAATAATCCATAGAAATTCTAAATGAAATACAGTGCAGTAAAAGTAATCATTAATGAAAAATGATTACAGTGTTACTAATGCACTTACCTTTAATGTATGTCGGCTGAAAGCAACGGGCCTCAATAATTTTTAATTAAGCATGGAGCGACATTAATTGGATGAAGGAAAGAGGGAGATGGCTGGGTGGGTCATCAAGTTTGCTTTTTCAGACAGGCTAACATACTTGCTTGTTGAAGGTATTGGATCATCTTTAGGCGAAGAGGCAGCACTGGTGGGCGTGAGAGACAGCAGTGGGACTCCTCAAATATGTGTCCAACAGACTGCACAGTTTGCCTTTTCTTTCATTGTAAATCATCCTTAACAAGCAAGCGCATCTTGGATCATTCTGTCAACTCTTAAGCAAACAACATTTTGATCATTCAAATCCAAACATTTGCATCCTCATTAATAGCAAAATGCCTCTGCCATTGCTTCACTGAAAAATTTTTTTGGGAGGCAGGTTCCTCTCTACATTTTGAATCTCTTCTTCCTTTGCAATTTCTGTACTCCAGTTCATAAGATCCCATTACTTAGCTCTTCTGCTACACTTTTAATAGTGCTCAACATCTTCATTATCAATTTCTAACTCCAGCTGTTGACCCATCTGCACTATCTTGTTACTGATCTCAGAAATTGCTTCATCTTCATTAAAACCTTTGAAACTGTTCACATATCTTTTTCAGGACTTTCCTCCATATTCCATTCATGCGTGACCTGTAACCTCATCCCATGCTGCAGCTATGTTCTTTGTACATTGCAAAATGTTGTGGTCCTTCAAAACTATCTAGCGTTTTCTCACCTTCAGTAGCAGCAATACCCTGAAGCGAAGGTAAATGCGTAAAATATCTTGTCAACAGCTTGTAATAGCACCTTGATCCATGGGTTGGATGATAGAGGTAGTATTAAGGTGCAGGTCGTCCAGGTCAGTGCAGGTGTCCCGGAGCATTATCTAAAATTTATAAAATCTTGAGAGCAGCGGTGCGAACAATATATATAAATTGAGATAAAACAACTTAGGAACCATTTTCTCAAAGCAATGTGGGGTCATCCATTTTTTCTTATTCTGCGATAAAACACTGGTAGTGTTTGCTTTGACATCGACGAAAAAGACCTTGGATTCTTTGAATGATATATCATGAAGGTTTTTACCTTGAAACCAGCCACATTCCCCCCCCAGCAGAAGTGTGATTCAGTCATGAATGCCTTGAATCCAGCATGGTTTTCACCTCTTTGCTGAATGTGTGTCCGTTCTGGCATACTTCCAGAACAAACCAGTTTTCATCCACATTAAATATTTGCTCAGGCAAAATAATTTCCCTCCACGATGACACGATCTAGCTCACTCATAAAGCTTCAGCAGCACCCACATCAGCACTTGCTGCTCTCCACTCACCTTTTACATTGTGCAAATTGTAATGTTTCTTAAACCTTTGAACCACCCAGGACTTGCTGTAGAGTAGTGGTTGCACTCATCTCTGCCTGCTCTTTCAGACTTTCGAAAGGCTTCCATGCAGCTAGCCATGGTTAGAAGGCTTGAGGGTACATGCTTTGCAGCTTTTCAGTCCATGTCACAAGTAATTTCTCCATCTCTTGAAAAGGACCTTGCCTTTTTTTTTTGGTTATAGTTCCTTACTAGGTACTGATCCTTTCACTACCTCACAGGCACGTTCCTTGTCCTTCAAAATAGTAGATACTGGTCAAGTGCGAGAAGCCTAGGTCGTGAAATTGTTGCTATAGATTTTCCATTTCATGTTGCATTATTACCTTCATTTTCATCTCAAAAGTAATTGACTGTCTCCTTTTCTTCTGAGCACCACCAGAACTCTCCTTTTTACTCTTTCCAGTCATTTCTTAAAGAAATTAAATAGAAAATAATGTCTGTACACAGCGTGATCGATTCTTGAGGATACTAGCGACAGCGAAACACCAACTAAGCACTCTCTGGCGTGGAGTGCTGCAGCCACACAACA